CCCCTCTTCTGTGGCATACGTAGCAATCCTTGTGGATGTTTGTTCAATTAAACTTATTCCAGGGAAGTCTCTTCTGCCTTGTTCTCTGATGTCTTGGGGCTTGTAGCACTGCAGGTTCAAGGAACATTTTGCTGTATTGGCGGTTTACCTGCTTATATGAACAAAATGAGGTAACAACTATGAAGAAGTTTAGAAATTATATGACATATAATGTTGTTGATGTTGTTTTATTTTTACCCTGTCCATCTGACTGGGCTGCCCCAACCACTCTGGTGGCTTCCAACAAAAAATAAAAACACAGTAAGACACCAAACAGAAAAAAGTTCCCTAAACAGGGCTGCCTTCAGATGTCTTCTAAAAGTCAGTTGTTTATTTCCTTGACATCTGATGGGAGGGCATTCCACAGGGCGAGCGCCACCACCAAAAAGGCCCTCTGCCTGGTTCCCTGTAACCTCACTTCTCGCAGTGAGGGAACCATCAGAAGGCCCTCGGAGCTGGATCTCAGTGTCTGGGCTGAATGATGGGGGTGGAGATGCTCCTTCAGGTAATTTTTCACACAACCCTTTTATTATTACAAAACAATATAAGTTTATTGTTCTAGCCAAACCTACAGCAACAGTACCAATAGAATAATACAGATCACAAATCCATAATATGAACCAGCATCCACGATGTGAGAGGTTTCAGGAGACACCAACAAACTTAAATCCAGCTTGATTTCAAATTAAACCTCTGAATTACCACAATCTAACCCCTTTTTCCTGAAATATTTTGTTGCAGTCAGTGCATAGAGGGCTGCTCTCTGTGTTACAAAGCTATTATTGTCACTCCCAAAAAGCATATCTTCACTGAACCTGCTTTTGGAAAATTGCCTTGTTATCCTAATCAGATTTATGCACATGACTTTACTTACTCCCAATTTTAATACTGTACCTAGCTATAGATAGCACTGTCAACCTGTCTGTTATCATGCGATCTTAAACTGCAAAATGTATTTATCAAAAGAGCCTTCACAGGGTTATTGTGCAGACAAGTTAACTTTTCTCTCTCCCTCTCCCATATGTGTATTTGATGGTGGTGGGCTTGTATTTCTATTCCATTATCTCAGAGTCGAAGTAGAGTGTCATGGTCACTTGGTGTTGCATAGGTGCTGGTATGCAGAGTTTTTCCTGTATTTTGTTCTAGAGATTATGAGATACTACAAAATAGATAAGAGAGCTCATCTTGTCCAGTTCTGATGGAAAAAAGAGTATGCAAATATTTAAGCTGCAGAAAATACTTCCTTTGGGGAAAAGAATGATTTAAGTTGTCTTAAAGCTGGAATTCTCATTATAGCATGTTTATTTAAAAAATAAAATAAAAGACACATTATGTTTAGTGGGCCTTACAAGCTAGTGTGTTTAGGACTGCATCCTATGTTAACAAGCAGTGAAAATACTTTGGTCGCTTTAGAAAATGTATATATATAAAGCAAGCTTTATTCTCTAAGTTTGCCACATTGCACTTCCAAATTTAGCTATTAAGTTACATTCCTTCACATTGACTCATCTCTGCTTCCAGGTGAGTGCTTTCAGGAACCATATAGACTGAGTGCCCCAGGCCTTGGTGTAGCCTTAGTAATATGCTTGCTTATATTAACAGTCCAACAGGAGTTCTTTTCAGGCATGGCTCAGTGATCCTCTGTAAGATGAAACCTGGAGGATGGCTAGCCAAAGGGTATGACTAATTCGGGCAGAGGGCAGACAGAGACAAAGGATCCCTTGCACACTTGAATATATTAGGTGTCAGCATACACGTTCTGGTGATGTTTCTCATAGGAACTGAAAAGATGGGAAGATTCTTCAGTAGAAACAGGAACTCATCCAAGTGAATTAAAGAGTGTCTGTTTGAGAAGTTGCTCTACGTCAGCAACCATATGAGCCCCCCATGTGCAGTTTTGTGATTAGTAATTGGCAAATTTCTTTCCGTTTCTTATTTTTTCCAGTCTTTCAGTTCTCCACATTTCCTCATCAGCTTGTGAATTTTTAAAAAATTCATCTCTCCTAATATACACATTTGTGTGCAATTTTGCCCTATATACATGTTTGCAACACAATTTCCCCCTAATATAATGCATATTTGTATGTTATTTTCACCAATATATGCATTTTTATGCACACTTCACCTGAGTGTAAGTATTTTTGTTCACTGGAGAACTGCATTGCAAAATTCAGAATGGTTTGTATTTTGAAGGATGGCAATGTTTCGATTTGCATATTGTTTCTGTTTGTTTGTTTGTTTGTTTGTTTGTTGTTTGTTTGTTTGTATTTTGACCATTCAAGCTGTAATACCATTTTATTTCACAGTGCCATTTTGGTAGCATTAGACAACTTTATTCTGAACCCAGAATAGGACTAGTTGTTTTTGCTAATTTCCCTTAGTAACTGAAATGTAGTGCCTCTTATCCATAGCGTGCTCTGACTCTGGGCAAATTTGTTTAAAGTATTATTGCTTTCCCAGAGCTTTGAGGTGTATTGTTTTTAAATAAGTTACTTCTAAACTTAGAGTTCCCTCCCAGTTTTGAAGGAGTTCTTCCTACTGTGCCTCGAATAGTGGGCTTGATCAGCAGCAATTAGCATGTGATCTTGCCTCTGCCTTGAAAAGCTTCACCCACTGATTTCTGTAGTAGGACGATTGCTATTTATCTGGAGTGGACGGCTGAGCAGTGAAGTGGTTGGGTTTGCAAATTAGAGCAAATTATTCAGAAAAGGGAAAACTGAAGCACACTGTAAAGAGCTCCAAAAGGATCTGTCAGAACAAGTGAATGGGCAAAAAAATGGCAAATGAGTGTAAAGTGAAGTGATGCATATTTATTTTAAAAATTCTGCTTTGTATATATGTTGGAGTAATGTGTGTTGAGTGTCTGAAGTGCATTACAGCAGACATGTACTGCAGAAAGGAGTCTGCAACACGTTTACTGAGAAATCGGCATATTGTGCATATTGCACACAGAATGTGTAAAAATAGTTGAGCATGCACATCCCTCAAGGCCCATTGGAAATTATCTAGAATGTCCCGAGAATATATACAATCCTGTTGAGATTTGCATATTCTTTAAGGCATGTTGGAACATATGTATATTGACTAAGAAATGTGCACAATTTCTTGTTCACGGACAGACCCTATGCACATTCTCCATGAAGTATGATGAATGTACACAGTGGTAGTTTTTTTTAAAAAAAACACATTAGTTGCTCAATCACATCCATAACATATACATTGGATCTGAACTTATAACAACTACCAAAGGTAGCTCAATGAAAATGTCAACCCAATATGTGGCAGCTGTGAAAAATGCAAAGTCCATGCTAGAGATTCTTTTTTTTGGGGGGGGGGGGATGTTGGTATTGGAAAACACTTATATAAATCCATAATCATGGAATACAGTGTACAGTCCCAGGCATCTCAAAAAGAAAATAGAATTAGAAAAGCTATGAAAAGAACAACCACAATGATTGGGGTGTGGAGCACATTCCCTATGAAGAAAGTCTAAAGGTTTTTTGGGATAGGCTATTTAAAAAAATGATTATTAATACTGTATGGTAATGACTGACACTTATGAATGGTGTGGAGAGACACTTTCTCTCCCTCCCTCCAACTAGAATGTGCATACCACAGTACTAGAACCCAATAAAACTGATCATCAGTAGGTTCAGAACAGAAAAAGGGACTAATTTTTCATACAATTCATAGTTATTTAAATACTTAACATTTTTATGATTGTTGAGATTATATCCCATACATAATCTTTGCAACACTTCTGTAAGGCAAGCTAGTATCACTGTGCTCATATTGCAGATGGGGACTCAGAGGATGTTGTTTGGTTAGGGCCATCTAGTGATTTAAACATCTAGTGGCCCGATTATACTAGGTCCATCCTAGTGGGGGACCCAGATTCTTACCCACTGCCCTAGAGCACTATTAATGGTAACACTTTCAATATTCAGGACACACTATACAGCTTTTTGCTATTGTTTCAACTGTTCAGTGCTAAGTAACTGATACAGTCATATGCACAGCTTTATTCTGCATGTAAACTTGGACAGCTCTGACATTTCAGATTAGTTTGTAGAGATTGAAGGCTGAATCATCTCTAATTGACTAAAATTAGACTCTAATGAAAGTCAGGATTTGATTTTAGGTATATTACTCAATCATAAGACAACAGCTAACAGATTTCTTAAAAATGTGCTGTATCCACCCTGTTCTATCATTGTTGCCCAGAAGTCCTGTTTATATCAGCTGAGGAAATAACCTTTACAAACTGTCAATAATATTGGAAAAATATCACTTTTTACTTGGATGTAGGAATAACGAAACATGCTAAAAAAAATTAACATAGTTTTTCCCCCCTCCTCTCCCTCTGTTGTCTTCCATATGGTCAAAATCTACACTACAAATTTAGCTTCTTGGGGGTAGGAACTTTTTGCATATGGAACTACATAAAGCATTGTGCACACTACTGTAAAAATAATATAGTATGATCTTTAAGAATGTAATGTAGTATAACAATAATAATGTTCATGATAATGTTTGGACAGCTAGCTGATTTTTCTATCCTTGTTATAAGAATTAACCATGAATTCCTTTTTGAGGGAAAATATTATTTTAACAATTGCTAGAAATTATTTCCAAAAGGAAAATAATATGCAGTATTTTTAAGCGGCAAACCTATGCACACTTATCTGAGAGTCAGAATTATCTCAATGAGACATACTTCTGGTTAGATATGCATAGGATTATATGAGATTAAGCCCTATTGAACTCAATGGGATTTACTTCTGACTTTGAATAGGCATGTATATAATTGCTTCCTTATCTGGTACTTTTAGAAGAACTTCCAATTATTAACATCACTCACTCACTCACTCACTCACTCATACACACACTCATTTACACACTTTTGCTGTCTTCAGAAGGGCCATTTTTTTAAATTAAAAAGCTATATTTCTTTATTTCAGGAGTCCTTTCCAAAGAAGAGGAGTTATACACTGGAAGCAGTGCCATCTGCTGCTTCTGAGGCATTTCCTGTAGAAAATGAGAATGATCTCTGTGATTTTCTGGATACGACAGTTACAAAGAAGCCCTGTTCTTTAGAAATAGCAAGAGGACATTCCTCAAAGACAGGTAAATGCAGTAGTATTTTCTCTTATAATCAGTGCATTCTACCATTATGTGGTGCGCACATTTTGATTAATAATGTGCTCTGCACTTCTTTGACGGATGGATAGATACTATGTGCCCGCAGTGGGAAGCAAATACAAATTCCCTTCTCTGCGCATGAGGAATCTCAGGGGATGCTGGCTTCATCTGATTCGTGGTTCCCTTTCCTCCCAGGCCAGCATTTCCCATTGAATGCCCAGAGTTAATGGAGTAAGTTTTCCACTGTTCTTGTTTCTTGATTCCGTGATTCACCTGGCATGGCCCACACTATTTGCATGTCAGCTGGAAATAATCTGTAATTTGCTAAGACTACCTTTGTGAATATATGCTCTCCCCCCCCCCCCAGCAATAGCTCAATCTTAGAGCATCTGCTTTGCATGCAGAAACTGGCAAGGCAGGCTGGAAAAGATTGACTTCCTGAAACCCCAGAGAACTGCTGCTACTCAGTGTAGAAACTAGATGGACAATTGATCTGACTCGGTATGAGATAGCTTCCTGTTTTGTCCCCTCTCTTATCCTAATTAAGCCTCTCCTCCTTACAGAGGGGAGGAATTGTGAGCAGGAGCCATTTCCTGCGTTGGCAGGGAGCGTTCCAGCCCCTGCCCAGCTGGCTTGGCTGTCGTACCACGCCCCCATGCAGCCAACCAATCAGGTGGAGGCTTGGGGTGGGGTTTAGCCGCTCAAATGCGGCCACGGCAGCACTTCCCTTTCATTCCGCTGCTGGTTTTCGTCGGCTCATACATACTAATTATACTTACTTAAAGAAATCCCTTCCGTTGATTGAAATTCATTAGTTGGTTAAGTAGTTTCTTAGCCTCAGGCCATGGTCTTGCTTGCTTGCCTTGCCAGTTTGTCCCTGCTCTATACTTTCAAGGAGAGTTGGGGTAATGACAGATTGAACTCTAGCTTCCTGCAAGCAAAGCAGGAGCCTGGAAAATATATCCAGCCCCCTTCAGACCACTATAAATACTGCAAGCCTGGCTTTCTTTCTCACCTGGATGTAGGTAGGCTAAAAGGGAAAGTGATGGTGGCACTACCCAAGAGTAAATAACCAAAGATGCCATGGTGTCTTGGCCGGCGGTGGGTGGAGGCAGTGGTATTCTCCTGGTGGTGGTGCTGTGTTTGTGGGATGAGGATGGAATGAGGCAGCAGCAGCAAGTCTGGGACTGTTCTGGGGCAATCCTTTCTCATAGGATCAGTTTGAGTACTGCCCTGTTTGTTACTGAGCTTGACATACAGTGGTACCTCGGGTTGCAGACGCTTCAGGTTACAGACTCCGCTAACCCAGAAATAGTACCTCAGGTTAAGAACTTTGCTTCAGGATGAGAACAGAAATCGCATGGTGGCAGCAGCAGGAGGCCCCATTAGCTAAAGTGGTACCTCAGGTTAAGAACAGTTTCAGGTTAAGAACGGACCTCCAAAACAAATTAAGTTCTTAACCCGAGGTATCACTGTATTGGTATTTAATATGGTACTATATTTCAAAATGGTGGCTATCATTGCATTTACTGAGTTTCTTTCCAAGTTACCATGCCCGTTATATTACTGGAATTGCAAAATGTAATCTAGCCACAAATAGATGGAATGACTGTCCTCTGCTTCATAAGCCTTTTAATGGATTTAGATATGTATTACCTTATCACTGGATGCAGGCTTTATTTACCTGTGCTTCTGTTACTGGAGGTCTAAACACAAATGCCTCTTATTTCACAGAGATTAGTGTCATGGGGGTTGGGGTGCTTGACTTCCTTTGCTTGCGCACGTGTGTTTTGGTCACAATTTAAGTAGAAGGTGGTTGCATAGAGGAGTTACTTAGAAACTGAATTTTTATTTTCACTTTTTTACTGTGTATTGAGGAGGCTTAAAGTAAGCCTTGCTTTTTAAAAAACCAAACAACTCCTATTTTTCAGCAATTTGTCTCCCATCCGACCCTTAAGTTAATAATTCAGTTGCCTTTCCTTCATGACAGATGTTGCCCTACTTACATTATTTTCCAGTTCCAGAGGAGCCCCTGGATAACCTCTTCTAGACACTTCTATTAGGCCTATTAATTTGCATGTTTTCACTTTGTGACAAATTAATTCTGGCTATATATATATATATATATATATATATATATATATATACACACACACACACATAATGTATTCTTGATTTGTGAGGCTGAGAAATCAATCATCCTTTGAAAAGTTACAGGATTTAATAAATCTGAGGTACCCTAGACACAAAGTAATTGTATCACTAAAGTGATAACTATCTGGCAGCTGTAAAGAAGTAAAGCTTAATCATTTTGGGTGATGATAGGGAATAATTAGCTGGTGGATTTAGTGACTGAAAAGCAACCAAATATTTTGAAAACATACTTGTATTATTCAGATATGTGTGTGTTTGTTTTTATAAACAAAATACAAGCTGTAAATGTTGCTTGATTTGCAGAAAATTTAGCTTGTGCATTAGTGCACACACACACATTCCTCGTCTAAGAAAAACTATTTTCAATTTGTTCACATTTCAGTCTTTATTCCTGCCCACCAAAAGCACATACCTTTATTCTTTATATTACACAGAACAAAAGTTTGTAAAGAAATGGCCTCCTCTGCATTGACATTCTTCACTTGCCATGCATTTCTGGATTATATAAATCCTTGCTGTGGGAAAGGGCCAAAGAATTTGGCAGTGACAACTGCAGACAAACTGGATGGCCTTCCATACAAAGACATGCAGCAGACACAGCAGCAAACTATACCATGGTCTGGTGCGCTAAGGAGTAAACCCTACATCAATCCAGAGTAGAGTCCCTAAGACAGTTGGATGGCCCCTTGCATGCCTCCTTCCACCAGCTTCTGCAGCCAAGAAGGTGCCAAATGTATTGCTCTACTTTTCTTTGGACCATGTCAATGAGGCCAAGAGAGGGGTATTGTTGTCTGGGCAGCTTGGGACCTCAATGCAGCTTGCGCCCTGGGGAGGTCACTTCAGTGCTGCTAAAGCAGCAGTTAGATTTCACCCCCAGAGGCATACTCATTGTCTCTCAAGACAGACAGATGCCAACAGATGAGCCATGTGCTCATGTGCTTCCTTAACACATTATGATTCAATGAGTTGCTTTCGCTTTGGCACAAACACACAAACAGAATTGCAAACCAGCTTCAAACCATGGTTTGCAATCTTGTTAGCTTGTTGTTACTGCTGAATTTGCAAGCTGAGTTTTGAGTCAAAGAGAAAGAATTAATTGAATCAGACTGAAAGAATGAAGGAAGAGCAGAAGGAGCACATGAGTACAAGTAATTGTACCAATGCTCCAGCTTTAAGATCTGCAAGGAAAACTCACTCGGGTCTTATGTGTGATCTTTCCTCTAACGCTCAAAGTAGGTCTTGTTTTATGGCTGCAATAATTGAACACACTCTGTAATGGGGCCTACCAGATTGCCTTCTTGTATATTTTAGAAGCCATTAGGGAAGTTCTTTCTTCAGGCATTTTATTCCTTGGGTGTTTATTAAATGCTTGTATGTGTTCTCTGTTGTTGTTCTTTAACCATATTTTAATATTGACGTTGTAGTGTCTGTTAAAGAGACATGTCTCCCCTTGCTTCTCTGGGTATGATCCTCTCCTTATTTAAGTAGGAAAGTGAGAACCTTACTCTTTTCTGCAAGGCAAGTCCCATCTGCTATGCAGAGTTGTTGATCATACACCCACCCAGACCCACACAACCGCTACTACTGTATTTTTCCAAGACAAAGTTATTTGCTAAAAAATAAAAAGGCAAAAGTTGGGGGTCGTCTTATACATGGATAGTGAATGCAGGGGGTGGGGTTGGCTGCAGCAAGCAGGTGTGCGATTTGAGGCTGGAGTGAGGTTTGCAGGTGATCAGCAGTGGGTGGGTGATTGGTAGTTGCAGTGAGGCGGGTGGGCAGGTGTTTGAGCAATTGGTGGCAGCGACCTCCCCAATATATATGTTGATGTTATCCTGACTCCTACTGCTCCCTGGTATTAGGACAGACCTGTTGCAAGGTTTCCTTACACAGTGAGTGTCCTTCCCAAACTCACGGAATACTTCGTTGTGTCAGAAGTGCAACTGCACCTTCCCAAACCCATTGAATGCTACAGATATTGTATTGCAGTCTTATTATTAATTGTATTTTAATCATTGTTGGGTGGTGTTTAACATCAACCATTCTTGGAGTAGACCTATTGAAAACAATGGTCCATTGGTTTCAGTTGGTCTCTATTCTGAGTATGACTAACAATCAACATCAACCATAGTTTCTAAATGTATTCTACTTTGTGTTCCAAAGACTGTCTAGAATTTGAAATGAATATAGTGTAGCATTGTTTGGAATGTTCCACTGGGTATTTACAAATTACTCAGGAAATGAATTATTCCCCCTCATTAGTACATAATGAGAATTGTTATTCCAGACAGTTGGCTGACATTACTAAGCAATTCCAGGATCTGTTTCTGCAGGTGAAAGATGAGGGGAAAGATGAGGTTGGTAATCCTCATGCTTATACTCTTTTATATGAGAAGAAAAACAAACTAAGCAGACTCCCTCCTGCCACTAGAATGCATTTCACTTGTAATTAATTCCAAGCACCACCCCCAAATAACTTGCAGAGACAATATCAGGCTTGTTATAGCTATTCGGTTATGTATTTACATTCCTGTTCAGATCAACAGTAGGGATTCCATTTTGTACAGCACAACAAATAATTCAAAACAATAAATGCAATCTGTTTTCTATTTTCTGTTACCCTTTGGTTCCATCTTTGGATCTTCCATCTGCTCTTTCAGTTCTTTCTAGTAATATTTTTGCTGTCTGTCAGATCCAGAAATACCCATGTTTGCTACTCTGAATTGTGGCCATTGTCATTTTCTCCCCTTCAGCATATGAACTATGCAAAATTCTGCTCTACATTAAAGCTGCCAGCTTATTTCCCTTCCTCCCCCCTACTTATTTTATTTTTTTACTTACAGACTAAAGCAGCACCGTGGTAGGAAGGCAGCTCCTTGCTGCAACCTGCCCCCAGCACTTGGCAACAGTCTGCAGTGTACAATTTTAAAAGGCACAGTCTATGTGCAAAACACCTTCCACCAACTCATCCTCTCTCTAATATATAAGCAGCATGTGAAATGAACATAAATTATTTCATAGGGACAGGTTGATCAGGAGAGGAATGGATCTGCTCTTCAATAACAGGAAGAGAAATTCTGTGTCTCTGTTTTTCTTTAGGAGAGGGGAGCGAGAGATGTGGTTGGTTCACTAGCTACCTTCTGTGAAATGGGTGGTGGAGGACCATTTTCACATTGGGGTTGGACTCTCTCAAGTTTCACATTGGAATTGGTCAGTTGACATTGCTCCCAGATTGACTGTGGTTTGGTTCAATATTAGTTTCGGAAATACCCACACAAATGGTTCAACAATTTGAAGACAGCTCATCACCAGTGTACTGTATTGTCTGACAAGGAAGATAGAGAGAAGGAAATAGAAGAAAATGGCACCATAAAGAGAATTCAGTTTATGAAAGCTTAATATATTTTGAGTCCAACAACTCTTCCTCATGAGCACCTGAAATTGTTTTTTCAAGGGAACTGCTTGAGGTAATCAGGCACTTTTGAAATATGTTCCCCTTCTCTGTTGTTTCTTGCCAGGTTATTGAAAACCCTCCCACCTCTAGATTTTGCAGTTCCACGAAAACAGAAGCTTTATTGAGCTCCTGGTATGCCATTATACATGGCTGGTGGGCTGTTTGACTTGTGGAGTCACAAGTTATGTGGTGTAATTTCTGATACAGTAGTTCTGTCTATCCCAAATCATCAGGTACTGCCAACTACCGTTTTTAGACAGTGTGGTGTTTAGTGGGTTTTCTTAATCCTCAGTTTTCACAATGACTGGTTTCTGTGACAGTAACCTGCTATATTGAAAGATGTCAACCTTCTACCAACACTTTTGATTATTTGATTGATGCCTCAAAGGAAAAGTGTCAACAAAGAAGCTTGCATTTGCCTTAGTCCTCCCCACCCCTTTTCCCTACCATGCTGCATATCATCCAAACCAATATTCATGGTAAAGTTGTCTGCTCACTAACCACAAGCTGTAGCCAGTGTGGGACTACTTCATCACAAGTTCAGATGGCATGCTAAGCCAAACATTGGCTTAGCTTAGCACTGGCTTTGCAGCAGTACATTCAGACATACATACATAATTTTATTTGCTGGCAACCTTTCCAGAGTTCAAACCATGCTCAAGCCAGCTTACAACGTGAAAAATACATAACTGCAACATAACAAAAGTAGTCAGAAACAATAAATAAAACATAAAATATCTAAAATAGAGATACAAAAAAGACTACCAGCAACAACAGCAACAACCCCTCCCCAACAAAACAGTCCCAACACCACCCGAGCTCAAGGAGTAAAAAGTACCAGGGAGGAAAAGTGGATTTGTGCTCCTCTTTAGGATCATCCATGCTCACATGGTTTTGCTAAGCCAGAGTTTGGCTTAGCATGTTGTAGAAACCAAGTCAGTTATCTGGCAACGCTAATAATAATTCTGGGAGTCTATATGTTTACGCAGTTTCAATAAGCCCAAGTTTGGCTTAGCATGTGTGTGAATCAGCTTAATGTGTGGTTTACTTTTGGCACAACACTTTCACTTAGAAAGCTGTTTGCATATCCCTAATTGCATTGGCAGTCATTTTTTTTAGTGCATGCCTTTGATCAAATTTAAACACCTATAATTATGCAGCATTTTTCCCTTTGATTTCTTCAAACCAATGTTCTGCTCTTTGGTTGAAATGTTGAAGTTTTTTATTCTTTTGAATTACTTACAAAATTATAGAACATGTCAAGAAATGAAACCCTATCATGCTTGCAAAACATATTTTACTAATTTAATATTAGGGTCAACCTAGTCAAATCATTTGTGATAAAAAAACAAACCAAGTGAGGTGTATATGAAAATTACTCCAATTTGATATAAAATATGGATTTGCATTGAGGATGAATGTGTATTCTACAGAAGTACAACTATACAAGAAGCTTATCTGAGACCTTTAATGAAACTTGAAATTAATTTATATGAAGTCTCATAGCCCACCCATACCTTACTCATGCACTTTCCCCTCCAGTTAAAAACAGACATGAATGATTTTGTTGGCATCTATCTGTTTTGAGAGACAATGCAGTGTGCCTCCGGGGGTGAAGTCAAACCACTGGAGAATCACATCACCTGCTGTGGCTGCAGAGATGGGTAACTCATAACTGCTGCCTTCCACATCATTTTTGTTGCATTAGCAGCAGCAAAGTGACCTCTTCAGGGTACATGCCTGGGCAGTGTGCATGGAAGTCCTGGGTTGCCCAGACTGCAGAACCCCCCAGTCTTTTGACCTTATTGCTGTGATCTAAAGGAAATACATTTGGCTGTAGCTTGACTACAGGCATTGCCAGAAGGAGGCTTACAAGATGCCGTCCAACAGTCTTAGGGACTCCAGGAATGGGTGTCTTTGTCCAGGAATCCAAGCGGGGACCGATGGGCCACAGCATCCTTCCCAGTGGTGGCCCTGCTGCGGTCATATCACTTGGCAGGGTCAATCCCCACCCTACTTATCCACCAGCAGTTGGGCTGTTTGATTCTGGATACATACCCAATGACTTGGCCCAAACCTACCTAAATCTGTAATAAATAAAAGTTATTTATGGTTGGCCCCTCACTGGGCCATGGACACAATGTGCCTGGATATGCAATGAAATATAAATGAGGAAACGTTTTTTTATAGTTGCATTTATCAGAAGAAACAGATGTTTGCCAATGTATTTCCTGTTGTATTGATCCAAACTTTTAGTGTCATTCAAATTTTTTAGGTCAGACCACTGAATAAGTATTCCCTTTGAGCTTAACATTGCCTTTCTGGATGTAAATAGAGCAATTTGGACAAAATAAATAAGAGATGTGCTAGCTATCGTATATAGTTACTGAGTATCTCTAGTCCATGCCATCTGTGTTTAGCTAGAGCGCTTCCTGCACAAATGTTTAATGTGCAGTATATTTTGAATATTTTGTAAGTAAAATTATCATTGCACACAATAGGAACAAACTGAATACATTTTTATTGTTTGTGGAATCAATATTTCTAGAATCGGTATTGTAAGTTGCACACTCGGTGAATTAAGTATAGGAACCAAAGTAACTGACTTTTGACTGTGTTCTGGCGATTGGTTTGCATAGCCACAAATTCTGCTCCCACCTAATAATGCTGTCAGTGATGATAGTACAGACCACCTACTGGAACCCAAAAGCTGTGTTTCAAATCAGCCTTTCCAAGCCAATTGGGGCGTCATGAATATATCCCTAGTGCCGAAATGTATCGAATATAAATGAATATATCCCTAGTCACTATTTCACAGCATTCTTTTGTATGCTTGAATAATGCCTTGAGGGATAATCTTCACACATAAGCTTGTTTCTGCAAGAGTTAGATTTGAATACTTGGCAACACCTTTGATCCATACTGCTCTTCAAAACCAGAAGTGAGCATATTCTAGTGAAAACAAACAATAATAATTTAGATGACAATAACTGTAACATATTCACATCCCCCCCTTCAAATGCAATTTCCTGTTTCTAAATGTATTTTCCATAGAACATTGTATTCACTGTAATGCTATTTTTATTCACAGAGAATGCACCTCAAGTAGCAATTATTGCACCAGGTACCAGTAACCATAGAAACAGTTCAACAGGCCCAACACCTGACTGCTCTCCTCCATCGCCAGATACTGCACTGAAAAATATAGTGAAAGTTATACGACCTCAGGTGGGTGGTCGGAAATAAAAATGTTCTTTGATTTTGTTAAAGATTTCAACATTTTATCTTACATTCCTCTAATAATTTGCAGTGATATGAACTATTTTAAAATGTTGAAATGAAATCCCTCCACTGATAAGGCTAAAATATCTTTAAAAGCTTGATTTTAATTAGACCTGACCAGAAAGAGCATACCGAGATTTCTATTTGTGTTCTTTTTCAGCTATTATGCTTGATTTATAACATTTTATTGAAATCTTGTATTGCATTGTTACATTAGTGTACTACACCTTCTCTTGCTTCTCAGCACCTGTTTTTCCCTCTAGGCTAGTTTTCTTCCTTTTGGACTTCACTGACCTCAGCCACATATGCCTTCACTGATGTTCATTCTGATTCAGTGTGGCAGCCCATGCAATTTTTTGTTGAAGAGGTCACAATGATGCATGAGGATATTGGGAATGCCAGTCACAGCCAAACAGATTAAACAGCAGTGGGGGCACTGAGGGTAAAGAAGAAAAAGTAAAATGATGTTAAGATGAATGAGCAGCTAGCAAAACAAAAAGACACCAAATAGTATTGAAATGTCCAAGTTTTGGTGAGGTGACTTTTCTTGTGTGTAATTAGTTCAGCTCATTTTAAACACGCCAATTTTGATGTAAATATAAAATTGGAGACTACATGGTATAAACATAATTTTGATTGACTGTTATTGCTTGCAAACTCTCAGTTTCTATTTACCTCTTTTAAAAAATGTAATGTGCTTCATGAAATTTATTTTATTTCATCTAAAAGACTTTCCAAGCGTCAGAGCTGTTTTTACTTCATGCTGTCCACACATGCCTCTTTTCAACTCTATAACTCCTTTTGGCTAGCACAGGGTTCTTCATTTCCTCTTTCTCCAGACACCGCTGTATTAGCCATTTATCACTTTCTGTCAAAGCTATTTTTTGTTTGATGGCTTGCACACAAGAAAGCAGAGAGAAATTGGAATTATTGTTAGAACAAGCTGTTATGTGATAGTTAATTGGAAACAGCCTTTAAATGCTATTTTCATCATGAAATTGTCAACAGATGGACTCAGAACATTGAATAGCTGTGCTCTTGGATTAGTTCATTACTAATTCAATGTCGGGACTTAATTAAAGTCAGTGACTTGGTTCCCACTGAATTCAGTAGCACTGCATTCTTTGAGTGCCGAACACTCTATTCAATATTTTTGAATGAGTGAGTGAGTGAGTGAATGAATGAATGAAGTGGAGGCCATGCTTATCAACTTTGTAGATCAGGTAGGATTTAGAGTGGTAAAACATTTCATGCCTTTCAAAGCTTCCATACTAGTGATGTATTGAATTAAGTACCTCGGAGACTGTATCCTCCATAGGTATCCTCCCATATTCTCAGACTATCAGGAGTGCATTCCTCCATGTCCCATACAAAGAGGAAAAGTAATGGTATCCAGGAGCCTGACTTCTCCACAATGGCATCCACTCTGTGGAATGCTCTGCTGGTAACATCCCTCTTGCATCCTATTTACGGCTGTCATTCTGACATCTGGAATATTTTGACACTTGTTAGTGTCCTGGGAGTTGGTTGCTGCTGCTTGGGTTTTCAGCAGTTGTTAATGCAGTTGTGTGCGATGTTGACTGTGATGGTGTCATATATTAATTTTATTATGATTTTAGAAGTACAGTTAAAATTATGGCTGTATATACATTTAAAATTCAGCATCTGCATTTGAAATAAACATACATATCGTTGGTACTATTCGTATTCAAAATGGCTTAGATACTGATATTCTGGAGCATGAAAGAGCGTTGCAAAAAGGGATGAAATTATAGCCTTGTGCCAGAAATGGGAAGATTTGTTGCTAGACAGTGGCACTGCTAGAAAGAGCTAGAAATGATTGAGGATTTAAAAAACTGAAAATTGTGGTGAGTCTCCTGTTTGAGTGCTGTGAATGAGTCTGGGGAATGAGTCTGAGTCTTACTTATGGGTACCAATTGGCATATGGGTAGTCATTGTGGGAAGAGCTTGCTGAATCAGATGGGCCTTTGGTCTGATCCAGTAGGGCTCTTACGTTCTTATTTTCTTTCAAGGTGTGGACATAAATGTATTTAATTGACCATCTCAGTGGTACAGAAGAGAATATAATGCAACAATGAACCCTCTGATAAAAAATAGGGGGCTTTTTTTGTCTGACCCTGATATCTCCCTTCATTACTATCATGCCTGTAGTGTACATTCAGGCAAAAGAAGAACCCTTTTTATATATTCTGTAATTGCCATCCACACACTTTTTGCTCAGTAATAAAAAGCAACCCATGATCTGCAAGCCTTAGGCAAAAGGTCTGGAGAAGTACTCTAAAGCACAGACTATATCAGGAAAGGCCAACTGATGTGAACCTAAGGCACTTCAAACCGAAATAACTCATTTTGGATTTCGAATGCATCAAAAGCTTTGGATCAAATTACAGTGGATTTAAGACAAAGTTTAATTTTGGTCTGAAGCATATTATCGAGATTGTATCACAGAATATACTGACAGTGTTTATTTTAATTTCTGTTCTATGCCTCATCTATCTAGATATTAATTTAATTTTGCCATTGAATCAACATTGAAATGCTGTCTCTCCAAACCCTCTTTGAAACCTACTGAAATGTCAATATTTTATTGGCATATAAGGTTTTCTATTGACCATACGATATGTTACCTCATACTGATATGTTTTTTGGTACTGTATTATAGCAGCTGGGGTGGAGCGGCAGTAGATGATTGCTGTCACATGCACAATGGTACCATAGAAAGAAACACAGGATATTTGTGTTGGGTTGAAATAGGTCAGAATTTATTATTGATTACAGATGTAAGTAGGTTTTGGCTAAGGCAATCAACCCACTTGATGGTTGCGAAATGAGATGGGGTCAACCTGGAGCTGGGTAGTCGCCTCTGACATGCACCAGGTGCTACGATCCTGCTTGGGCCGCCATTGGGAGAGGTGTCATGGCCTATTTGCCCGCCCATGTGGGTTCGTGGACAGAGATACTACTCCTTGAGCCCTTTAATCAGCTAAGGATCCATCCCAATGCCTTATCCACCAAAGTTGTGACTGTTGCTATGAGGTAGGCAAAAGCCTGCAGACCAGCCAATTCGTCTGCAGGGGGAGGAATCCTCCCTGTCCCCAAATAGTGATCAAATAGCCATAGCAAGTTCTTCACACTGGCCCACCTACTCAACTTTCGGCAGGCCACTTACAGCCTGAGTGGGCAGGTGGTGAATCCCATTATGATCTCCCAAGAGGGTGAACTGCACAATATCACCCTCTTAAGTACAGCAGGCACGGACTGGGTTTAGCCCCTTCCCCTACAATCTGACTTTCCTGATCAATCAGGCCTTCCCTGTTGGGCTGGCACAGCTGGCAGGGGAGGCGCCAGGTGTCTCCCCCCACAATGGCCACATGGGAATAAGATAGCCTCCTGGCTCGGGCTGTGGCCCTGCCAAGCGACAAACGAGAATGCAATAATTGTAGGAATTATGTATGGAAGATCAATTTACAGGGGGGAAATGCAATGGAATTTTTGAGCATCTGTTTTAACAAACCATTTTTTTAAAAAAGGTGATGAACCTTAGAGGCAGAAAATAAATTAAAATATTTAAATTTCAATTCAATTTTTTTCCAGCCGAAGCAACGTACATCAATAGTATCAGCTTTTGAATTTCACCGATTAAATCACAGCCATGATTATTTTGAAATCAACTCTTCCCTTGGATATGCAAGCTTTACTTCCAGTCCTCCAATCAGTCCAGCTAATTATTCTATTGGATCCATTGAAGGGAGCATTGAAGATAATGACATTCCAGGTAAAATAAAAATAAGTTGCATATTAGCTATACATTTTGATGTTGCAATAAGCAACTGGCATCGCATCCTAGGCCACCTCTGCTCCCTCAGGGGGACATGGCTGCTTTCTCGGTGGCTTGCTTTCTGAATTCCATAATACTTTTTATTCATTTACATTCCCTTCCCTTCAGTTTTTCTAAAGGATTGTTTGAAGAATACCCTAAAGTGAAATACAGTCAAGGGGTGCTTGCATTTGGGCTTACTTACACATAAATGTGCGTTAGAAGCTAAGGTGTGGGATTAATATTTATCTTTTGCTCAGAGCAGACCTGGTATTTTTATCATGTCAGGTCACATCCTTGCTCTGAATAAATTGTATGATGTTTATATTTATTCAGTATTGCACACTCTGTAAAGTGTTTCTCCAACTCATGAATCAAACCACTTTAGAATTCGCTACCCAGGAAATCTAGCTTAATGAAATGAATAGAAGAGTTTTTCGTGCTTTGAAACAGAGTGCTCTGATAGCTGTTCTTGCCCTCGAAAGAAATAATAAAAAATATGAAGAAAAAAGTACAGGGCCTACAGGGTGAAAAATTCATCATGCTACAAAAATGAGTCTGTGAAAAACAGTGTAATACATATTGGCCCATCTAATCCAAACAACATTTTCAATTGCTTATATAGTTTGCAAAAAAAAGTCATATATTGCTAAATACCAATTTATCATATGCTTATGATAATGCAGCATTGCTTGTTGTGTTCTTAGGAAAGTAGGAAATCAGTGCTTGAACTCATACTCTACTTGTATAAGTCTCAGGTTCAGTATTTGCAATCTCCAGTTAAAGGATTGCTGGTACCAGAGCTGGTACAATGTATTTATTTATTAAATTTACATGCTGTCTGTACAGCATAGTTATCTTAATGGACAAACCCACTTAAAGTACAATAATAAATAAAATGTTAGCAAAAACAATGCTAACACCATTATACATCACATAAACCCATTTTAGATGGGCCCCAAATCCCATCACAGCTGAAAGTCTTATACAAGGTGACTCAGTAAAAAAACCAGTTTCATTTATTTTTAAACAAGATAATTTACTTTGCTACTTTTGCATACATAATATTGCATAGCTACTACTCCAGATTTCTTCTTCCAGTTTCCTAGACTGGCTTGCCTTGCATGACAGCTAACTGAATGCATTTATTTTAACTTTAGGTCACCTTCATTATAAATTGCTTTATTTCCTGTTCACAGCTGCTAATTCTTCTATTTATACTTGTTCTTGTTGCTCATACTAACATCAGAGTTGTATCTACAGAATGTTTGCAGCCATAATAGTTCCTTAAGATTTGAAGAAATTGAATCATAAGCCATTTAATTTCTACAGAGAAACCAAGAGATTTGGCTAGAAATAATCTTTCAAATAATAGCCATAATAATCTCTAGCAAAACTTTAGCATGTTAGTCAGCTGGTTGTTGCTTATTATTTTTTCTAATATTGAACTTGGAAGGTTCCCATTCTATCAGTCTGGATGTGGCCAACCAAAAATAAGGTGGTAGTTGCTGAATTCTCAAGAGACTTCCTAGGTGTACAGATGTATATTTGTTCATAAATGTAAACAAATCCAGAAAATACTTACTGACGGCCAGTACAGGGGCCTACAAAATGCTGCAGGGAGTTGCGCTATGGAATGTTGAGGTATTGAGAGGGGGTAAGAAAATGGAGGAGTCAGAGGAAGAAACTGGCTGGCTTGAACCTCGAACTACCTTTAGTATCCTGGAAGTGGTGATGAGAATCAGGCAATTGTGCATCGTGAAATTAAAAACCTCTTTCATGCTAAAGAGAAGGATCCACAGGGAAGCAAGATTGTACTTACTTTAGATCTGAAGTGATCAGCTGCACAGGGCTTTGGAATTAGGTCGAGTCACATGAAAAGGACTGCAGGTTGCCCCCCTCTGCTACAGAGGCAAAGGCAGATCTAGAAGAACACGACTGGTTTGGTTGCACTAAGTGCAGAGCTTCTAGGGTACCGCAGCAGGTGCCGCAGGAGTGACATCTCACAGAAGGCAAGAGGCTGGGGGGCTGCGCCAGCTTTTGGTGTCACGCGGGATGCCACTGATATTTGAGACACCAAGGTTCACCTTTGACAGAGGGAGGTCTCATAAGATAATTGCCCAAAATCAAGTTGCGGCCCACCCAGTCTGGGGTCATTCTTTCCTCCCCAGGCCATTCTATGCCCCATCAGTTACTATAAACTGATGATTTTGAGAGTGAAAACAAAAAACAAAATTTCACAGTAGAAGTTTTTTAACCATTAACAAAACATAATTCCCAATTGCTCACTGTAATTACAATGCACATACTATTAAAGCCAGTGGCATAATTCCAATTAATTTTAATGGATGTGGATTGTCCCATCAGAATTAGTGACCAAGATATTTCTTCTTCTTTTTTCTAATGGATTTTTTTAATAAATAAAAAACCTTACTCTTGCTTGAAATATCTATGCAATTTACATTCAGTTTATGCTTTTTATTCTGCCTGTTTCATCTTTGGATCAGATAGATTTTCTTTTCATTTTTCCTCTCAACAGATTGTTTATAACTTTGAAAATGCTTGCTGGTTATCAGATATATTTATATGACATATGGGCAGTAATTGGAGCTGAAGAAACTGGTTAAAAACCCGCTACAGAGCCTGTAAAAATGAGAATTCTAACTACTGACCTCTTAAACAAACTGCTTCACACTGTAGACTATAAAGTGCACTTCATTTTATCATGTAGGTACAATCTCATATATCTGCTCAGAAGCAAGTCCTATTGAGTTCAGTTGGACATTCTCCCGGATAAGGATTGCAGCCTTTGTTTATTTTCTCCTTTCAGCTTTTGAAGAAGCAAGAGCATGCTTGTTTAATTTTCAAGTCTACATTGCCAAATTCTGGGTTTCTAGACTGGATTTCTGGTACTACTTAAAAACAGAATCTTACTTCCTTAGCTCGAGCTGGCACAAGACATTGTGGTGCCTGGGACTGTCCTAGCAGCATATCTCCCACCATTCCTGCAGTTCTCCTTCTCCCACCCACCACTCTCCGCCGCCACCATGTCTGCCTCACATTCCTCTCCTCAGCCAGTCAGCTGTGGGTGCTCCCAGCTTTGCTCTGAGGAAAGGGTCCCTACTCAGAGTGAGGCATTGTGGATGAGGTCACCCAGAGAGCAACCAAACCAGCACTTTGTGGCTCTTTGAAATGCATGTTAAAAATTTGGCATTAAATTTTATTTAAACTTTAGGAATTTTTAAACTGTGTTTTTAACCAGTATTTTAAAGTGTCACATATTAGTGGTGGTACAGGTGCTTTCTGGGCAACCTTGCCCACAGTGCCTCGCTCTCAGTGTGAGCAGGGAGGTGGGCAGGTAGAAAGGAAGGCGAGAAGCAGCAGGTGGGCAAGAGGGAAGGAATGGTGGCAGGCAGCAATGTTGGCCGGTCAGCTTGTTGTGGCAGGTGTTAGGCAACCTTGTGGGGCATGAATGGTGATAATTCACTGCCTGAGGCGAGTGGCTCTTTTCACCTCATGGAAGGTTGGGCCTGTGCCCACCCATTGTATTATGCTTTTGTGTGCTCATTGGACTTGGTGGTTCTCAAATAATTTACTCATCCTTTGAGTCATTTATTGAAATTGTTGACAGGAGAGAAGACATTTCTTATACAACTTTTTTTGGGTGGGGGGACAGCCACTGGCTTATCATATCTCCTTAAAGAAACAAACTCAGAATACTAAACATTTGCCTAAATAAAAAGATAATCCCTTACTTGCAAATTATAATGAGGCTTAGGCTGTGCAAGAATCCTGGCAGCAGAAAAAAATTCAAGCTACGGGGCATAACCTGCTAGTGCCTCAATGTTCCTTTTGCTGTTTATATCTGACACACATTAAGAGGCTGTTCTTGGCAGGCTACTTCCAGCCATAGGGAAAGTGACAATATGAATATATGAGAAATGGAACATCATGTTTTTAAAGGATGTTGAAGTAGTCTGAGCCTAATTTGAAGCCTTTTCTTTCAGCAGTTTGTGTGACAACAAGTCTTTGCATTCAGCTCTGCTTTGTGATTTTTACCTATTCTCCAATTGGACTGTTTTGTAGCTTAAAAGACAATCTAGGGCATGGGTTGTTCAAACCAGATCCCCCAGGTTATAGCCAAACATACTATATTTGTCAGCAGCACCCAGGAAGAAAGTATACTCAGATCTTCCTCCAAGTTAATAGCTATTGGACTGATGTCAAGCAAGCATTCACTCCACTAATTTTTATGTCCGACAGAAATCTTACCTGTAGCCAAAGTGTTATATGTTTTCAGATATAGGCACTTAAAATGCTCTGTCTAAACTCCACACGTTTCTATATGGCAATTCTCTATCTCCAAAATACTAGCTAAATTTAGTATGGAATTATAAGCCTTCAAATCTCATCCTGTGCTCTCATTGACGTACAAACAGAACATAAAGCATTTGTTTCAACAAGCTGAAATAGGGAAAGCTGTTTGCTTTTTTTAAAAAAGTAACTGAAAATTGGAACAGAGATTTTTTCATGCTTTCAGTTTTGTTAGGAAATAATTTCATGGTAAAAAAATTGAAATGCACGTTTAAAATTTTTACTTTTTTGTAATTAGTTTTTTATCCCTTTTGGACAATTACACAATTTTCTGTATTTCCTTCCCCACTCTGCCATAATCAGAGTTATGTAAAGTATACTTTTCTTTCCCCGTTTGTTCAGTGTAGCTTACAATGACCACTCCCCACATCCAATGGGGGGATGCCTTTTGTGTGGTTGTGCACAGCCCCCCGGATCCCAGTGCAGCTCCCGGTAGTTTGGGCTGGCTTCACCCTCTCCAGGCTGGATACCTGGAGGTCTCCGCCTACCTCAGCTAATTGCCCAATCCCGTCTGGGGAGGCGTTGCCAGGGGATCGGCCAGGTATGAGGAGGGACCGCCCTGCTTCTCCCACCCTGCCCTCCCT